GCATGCAAGGCAAGCGCTCTACCACTGAGCCACCTTCCCAGCCCTGTTATATATTCTTAAGTAACTGATCTTAGCTAATATTCCTGTCATTACACTGTTTTAATGTTGGCCCAGGTATTCTTTTCCCTTTATGATTGGATTTTTTGTTATTGTTGTTTTTCCTGCTGTACTGGTGATGAAACCCGTAGTAGGCAAATGCTAAGATTACAGGCGTGAGCCACCAGCGCCTGGCTGAGATTTTATTTCTTAACCATTTGTTTCTGTAATGGAAGAAAATCTCAGTTCAGGAGCAAGAAACTACCTGCTGGGGCAATGAAATTTCAATTCTTCTGCTGGCCAGGCACCACAATGCCAGCTTTGACTGAAAATCTTGATGATTGATTAATGAACTGTCAGGTACAATTGGGTTTTGTGTAGCAGAAGCCCCTCAAGGAAAAAGGAAAATGAAACTTTGCTGCTCCAAAGTCTTAGAAAAACTACATGGCAGAATATTTAGAATTCTTGGGAACTCCTCCAATCTTGTTATTTTGGCAGCACAGTTGGAGTGGAATTCTGAGGAGAGAATTTATAAGGTATAATGAGTTAGTTTTGAATGTGGCAAATGACATTGGTGTCACTTGTTTTCTGTTAGATCTAGGAAGTGCTCCACAAAGGCAGAGGCTCATGAGTTGAGAGACCCCAAATGGGCTTCTTTCCTCTGTGTTCCTCTGAACACAGAAAATACTCTGGTCCTGGAAGGGCCCCCTTCCTCACTTCCTTCTGTTTCCTCACTGGTGTAATTACTTGTTACTTTAGCATGCTGAAACATTTCAGGCATAGACAAGGTACCCAGGATAATGTAATGGGCCCTGTGTCCCTGTCATTCAGCTTTAATAATAATACATTCTTAATTGCAAAATTTGGAGGGACAAAACATTTTGCTGTGTTTTTCTCTTTTCTTTCTTTCCTTTTTTTTTTTGGTCCAGTCGTGGGGCCTGAACTCTGAGCCTGGGTGCTGTCCCTCAGCACTTCAGCTCAACGCTAGCTAGCGCTTTACCACTTGAACCACAGCGCCACTTCAGGCTTTTTCTTTTTGCTTATGTGGTGCTGAGGAATCGAACCTAGGGCCTCAGGCATGCGAGGCAAGCGCTCTACCACTGAGCCACCTTCCCAGCCCCTGTGTTTTTTTCTTAAAGGAAAGTCATACTATAATAATGATAATAATGATAATTTTTAATGAATATTATGAGACAAGGTCTTACTGTGTAGCCCAGGCTCATCTATGACTCACCATGTACCCCAAGTTGACCTCAAACATAAGATCTTTTCACCTTAACCTCCTTAGTGTTAGGATTATAGGAATATGCCACCATACCTGTCTTTGTAATATTATTTTGGCTAGGCTGTGTATTCACATTAATCTGTATTATAACTATCTTCCTACATTTTATATCTTTTTCTACTTTATTGATGAGAAAACAGAATAAAGAATCTAGAATCAGATGAACCATGTTTAGGAACTTTGTGGCCTAGCATGATAGTATATGCTTGTATTCCAGCATTGAGGAATAAGCTAAGATTGGAGGATCAAGTATTCAAAGCTAACCTGGGCTACAGGGTGAGACATCTCTCTAAAAACCTAAAAAAAACTTAGGCATGACTGGGAGCAGGTGGCTCATGCCTGTAATCCTGGTTACTTAGGAGGCTGAGATCTGAGGCTTGCGTTCAAAGCCAGCCCAGGTATGATAGTCAATGAGACTCTTACTTCCAATAAACTACCAGAAAACTAAGTGGTGCTGTGGCTTTTAAGTGGTAGAACGCTAGCCTTGAGCTGAAGAGCTGAGGGGCAGTGCCCAGGCCCAAAGTTCAAGCCCACGAATGACCAAAAAAACCAAAAAACCACAACAGAAAAAACCCCTTTGTGTGTTTTGAGCTCATTGTGAGGTTTATATGAATGAATACATGTTACGATGTTTAGAAAACAACCTGATCGGGGCTGGAAAGGTGGCTCAGTGGTAGAGCGCTTGCCTCGCATGCCTGAGGCCCTGGGTTCGATTCCTTAGCACCACATAAGCAAAAAGAAAAAGGCCGGAAGTGGTGCTGTGGCTCAAGTGGTAGAGCGCTAGCCTTGAGCTGAAGAGCTGAGGGACAGCGCCCAGGCCCAGAGTTCAGGCCCCATGACGGGACCAAAAACAAAAAAAAAACAAACAAGAAAACAACCTGATTTTTACTCAGTGCCCATTGTATATTATATTCCTTTCAGTTCAAATGAAAAAGGAGTAGTGTATATACTAAATTGTCTTTACATAATTCTGATCAACTTGAAAAAATATACTCAGTATCAATTAAAAGTGTATTTGTGAAAGAAATCCAGAAAAATACGTGAGAAGCATTTGAAGATTGTTAAGTGGCTAACCTGAGTCTAAGTCAGGCCTTTTAATGCTACTCATAAAACTTCAACCCACTATGGAAATTACAAGTAGTAGAAGAAGACAGTAGGACCTGAGCTCTGGCAGGAACCTGGCTGGAAGCCACCACCTTCCTTGGTTAAATGGTCACAATGCTCCATTGAGAAGATTTGATATAACCTCAGTTGCCCTTAATTTGTTTATCTATGAAAAATTGTTTCATGAAATGTTCTTTCTTTTGTATTATTTCCTCATTATTAGAGAAGTAGGATAATTGGGTCAAAGAGCATGTAGTCATTATGTTTGTGGGAGGGGTTGATAACTGCCTTTTTTTCTGGTGAACATTGTCCATGTTCCCAGCAGTGTGTGGGAGTGTCAGTGTCCTCACAGGGATCTGTGAGCAGTTGTGTTGCATTTGACAAGAACACAGTGCTCCTAAGATTGTCCCTTTATGTTGGTCTTGGGACCTTTCTAAGTCAGATCATAAGCCTCTCTGTATCACTTTTCATTGCCTAGGTGTTCTCATGCCGACTAGGGAATGAGCAGGATACGGCTCTTTCAATTGTTGATCCAGTACAAATCCAGGTGGAGCTGGTGGGGAATTCTTCTTATCAGAACAGTTCTGGATTGATGGATGCCTTCAATAGTGAGGATTTCCCACCTGTTCTAGAGGTAATGATTGAAAAAAAAAATAGCCCTCTGAGTAAACTACCCTTGCGTAGTCTGAGCCCACCACCTTTTTAGGTGCTAAAGCAGATACAAAATAAATAGGAAATTATCTAGGATCTTGGAGTCTTGGGGAGGATAAAAGACCTTTTAATTGCTTGCTGTCATCTTGAAGTTCTATGCAAGTTTATAGGAAGTAGAACTTAAACTCGGAATATTCCTTGTGGGTGGCACACAGGGTCAGAGGAGTTCAACTGAAGGGCAGGATGCAGAGGTAGATCAGCAAAGAGGAGAGGGAGAACATTCCCAAGTCAAGAAGCTAAGTCAAGGTGAAGTCAAAGGAAGGTCTGACGAGAATGGAGAGATATGTGGGATCAGAGATGAAGCCAGGCAGGGGAGGCTTAACAATGTGGTATTCTGTTTCTTTGATGGGAGGGAAATACTTAATCAGTGTCTTTGAATCACAGGAGATTGAAAGGGAAAAGCCATGTTGATTTTCAGTCTTAGTGGCACCTCAGGAAAAGTAAGTGAATGAGTCATGGTTCAAGTCCAGAGTCACCTGCTCATGGTCTGGAGAGTTATGTTGCTTGTCTCTGAGGAAGAATGAATTTTAGAAAATATTAGTACCAACTCACATAAGGTTTTTGTGTGAAGCAAAAAGAGATCGGTTTTGGGGGTTAGTTCATTTCAGAGATTTAAAAAATTAAATAGGTCCATGCAGAATAGAATAACAAAATGTTGCCAGTAAGTGGTCCTGTTTTTCCCTGGAGCCTTTCATTCTATGATCCTGTGCTTTAGTGACTCAAGTAGGGAAATAGCCTGCAGTAGCAGTAATTGCTCTAGTCATTATCTCAACTTAGTATTTTTTTTATTTGGTACAGTTTTTGGTTTGTTTTACCTTACAGCTGAGACATCAGACCTTGTGGTTATTTGCTTTTTTATTTTGGTCGTGGGGGCTGAACTCTGGGCCTGGGCACTGTCCCTCAGCTCTTCAGCTCAAGGCTAGCACCCTACCACTTGAGCCACAGCGTCATTTCTGGCTTTTTTCTGCTTATGTGGTGCTAAGGAATCGAACCCAGGGCCTCATGCAAGGCAAGCACTCTACCACTGAGCCAACTTCCCAGCCCTTATTTGCTTAACTTTGAGATCTTTCTAATCCTTTTTTTTTTTTTTTTTGGGTGCTGGTCCTGGAATTTAAACTCAGGGCTTGGGCACTGTCCCTGAGGTTTTTTTTTGTGCTCAAGGTTAGTGCTCTACCAATTAAAGCCACAGTTTTATTGGAGATAGGAGTGTCACAGACTTTCCTGCCCAGGCTGACATCAAACCAAAATCCTCAGATCTCAGCTTCCTGAGTACCTAGGATTACAGGTATGAGCCACCAGGGCCTGGTGATCTTTGTAATCTTTAAAGGAGAAATTTGTTATACTATCTGTTAGACTTTTAGAACTTGAAATAGGAATTATATCTATATGAGGTGTGCATACAGAACCAGATACAACTAAAAAATGAAAACTTTTTGTATTTTGCTAGATTCAGTTGCAAGCCCTAGACATCAGGCTGTCCTATAATGATGTACAGCTGTTTCTGGCCATTGCAAAATCTATCCCAGAGCAAGCAAGTGCAGCAGTGCCGGACTCCACAGCCTTGGAGGCTGACTCTGGTAGAGATTACCCTCCAGGGACATCTCGAGGTGGAGAGGAAGCCAGAGAAGGGAGAAGACACACCTTAGATCCTGTCCTGGGTAGGTGGCCAGTTGTAAACTCTTCAGTCTTCCCAATCCTGCTGCTTTTCAGGTTTTTAGAATTTATTTTGTATATTCAAATGTTTCAGAGTCAAATTATTTCATTAGTTAAAATTGCAAGTCATAAATGTGACTGATATATATATATATATATATATATAATTCATAAACTCAACATTGTAATCTCTTTCATGCTTGTTTAAGTAATATCCTAGTTTAAAACTTCGAGAATTTTCCTCTAAATTTATTTTAATAGTATTACATTTTAGTTTTAAGCTTTTTAAACCAGTCACCATGAGGAAATGACTTAAAACTCCAGGGTATGCATGCCTGATGGAGGAATGTATTATGAGCCCATTTTTGCCTTGAGAAATGAATGCTTTACTCAGTATCTCTGAATTTCTTATTACATTGGACTATGGATTAATTTACATAAAATTATTTCCTAGAGTTACAGCTGGCTAGACTTCAGGAGCTGGGGTTCAGCATGGATGATTGCCGCAAGGCCCTTTTGGTTTGCCAAGGTAATTTGACACAGACTTCCCATTAGCGGTTGTTTTATCTTGTCAGTACACTTCCTTCCACACCCTTGTCTGTTCCCATACTAAGAAGGAAAGGGTCTTCCATTCATAAAATGGTAAAGAAGGGAGAAATCTGTGCTGGCTTTTGCTGATGTACCTCAGACTGTAGAGGTCAAGATCAGAGTAAGCTCTTAGTTAGCTGGAGATAGCACTGAAGATAGGGTTTGGTATTCTCTGTGGTTTCAGGTTCACTGGGTGTCAGGGACTATGATTTTGTAAGTATAATTTGAGTGCCTTTTAAACAATATTTTATGAGATTATAATTTTATCATGATATACTTAATACTATCTCAGCATCATCTTTCCTTGCCACTGAAATTATTCGTAAACACTATTCTTCTTTTTTACAATGACTGTAAGGATAATACTTTAACCATGGTTCACTTTTTTCCCTCTTCATGCTGGGCAGTGGCACCCAGGCCTCATGCCTACTAGGCAAGCACTCTACCGCTGTACCTTCCCTCAGCCCACTTGTTTTGTATTCTTTCAATGTTATATACACAGTCTATATTAAACATTTTCTTTTTTGGTGTGAACTGGTATCCAATTTTGAAGTATTTTCTTAGGGAAGTACCTAATATTATAAATACTGGGTTAAAGAATGGAAAATATTTTCAGGTTCTTCACTAGAACTGACAAGTGGTTTTCTAGAAAGATTATATCTAGGTTACATTCCAGCCAATTGTGTAAAAATGTTTGTCTCTTCACCTAAAGGTTTGTGTCAACCATCACATATTTTGTCCTGAAAAAAATTAGGGTACAGTAGTTATTTTGTTCCTTTTTACCTAGTCACCATTGCTTTTTGGATAATTAATTTTATACCTCTTAATATCTGTTTTTGCTATGCCTTTTACTCTTTTTTTTAATAGTTCAAACTTTTTTTTGCTACCAGTCCTGGGACTTGAACTCAGGGCATAAACACTGTCCCTGAGCTTTTTTGCTTAAAGCTAGTGCTCAACTACTTAAGCCACTGCTTCACTTCGGGCTTTTTGGTAGTTTATTGGAGATGAGAGTCTGAGGGACTTTCCTTGCCTGTGCTGGCTTTGAGCCGCATTCCTCAGATCTCAGTTTCCTGAGTAGCTAGGATTACAGACTTGAGTCACCAGCACCCAGTAGAATTTTATTATTAATTATTTTTTGTAAGTTCTAATGAGTTTTTGGGATTTCTGTTTTTTCTAGCTTAGCTACTTACTTATTCCATTAGTAGTAAAGACTATAATAGCCCCTGTTCACAGAGTCTTTATTACATGCTAGGCTTTGCTCTGAGAGCTGGACAGGAACTTGTTTGTTTCCTCTTCATGTAAAGTGCCATAGGCACAGAGATTTGGAACTAGGCTACCTTGCTCCATAGCCCATGCCCATAGCCACTTATGCTGTTCTATATTCTGCCCTCCTTTCCTTCCTTCCCCTCTTTTCCTTTTGTTTCCCCTTTCCTGCTTTACCTTAACCTGTTTGTATTTCTAGTAGCATGCTGGCCTTTCTCTCTCTCTCTCTCTCTCTCTCTGTCTCTGTCTGTCTGTCTCTCATGTTTGTCACTGTCTCTCTTTTCTTCTGTTCTCTTCAACCCTCCGTCTTCTTTTTTTTTTTTTTTGCTTTTTGCTGGTCCTGGGGCTTGAACTCAGGGCCTGGGTGCTGTCTCTGAGCCTCTTTTTGCTCAAGGCCAGTGCTCTGCCACTTGAACCACAGTACCATTTCCAGCTTTTTCTGAGTAGTTTATTGGAGATAAGAGTCTCACAGACTTTCCTGCTTGGGCTGGCTTAGAACCGTGGTCCTCTGATCTCAACCTCCTGAATAGTTTAGGATTACAGGCATGAGCCACTGGTACCCAGACAACCTTCCCTCTTAAATCTTAAGAATGTCTCTGGGATCAAAGCTGTCCTGGGCTGCCCAATAGGTCCCTGTAAAACTTGGTTTCTCTCACAGCCTCTTCAACCGCTGGTGCTGGGAAAACTGGGCGGCCACATGCAGAAAACTAAAAGTGGACCCCAGCCTATCACCATGCACCAACATCAACTCAAAATGGATTAAAGTCCTTAACATTAAACCTGAATCTCTGAAACTACTGCAGGACAGAGTAGGAGAGACACTTGAACTAATAGGCACAGGAAGGAACTTCCTGAACAGAGAGAGACTCGACAAATGGGACTACCTTAAAATAAAAAGCTTCTGCACAGCTAAATCTATCGCAACTAAGCGAGAAAGACAACCAACTAATTGGGAAAAAATATTTACTAGCAATATATCAGACAAGGGGTTAACATCCTGTATATACAGGGAACTCAAGAAACTAATCCTTCCCAAACCTAACAAACCAATTACCAAATGGGCAAGGGAACTAAAGAGGGACTTCTCAAATGAAGAAATAAAAATGGCAAAGAAACACATGAGGAAATGTTCATCATCCCTGGTGGTGAAGGAAATGCAAATAAAGACAACCCTGAGATACCACCTTACCCCAGTCAGAATGTCCCACATCCACAAATCAGCCAACGACAAATGCTGGAGGGGATGTGGAGAAAGAGGAACCCTATATTACACTGCTGGTGGGAATGTACACTTATACAACCACTTTGGAAAGCAGTCTGGAGGGTCCTTAGAAAGCTAAAGATTGACCTCCCTTACGACCCAGTCATACCACTTCTAGGCATCTACCCTGAACAACAGGAACCAATATATAAGGACATGTGCACCTCCATGTTTATTACAGCACTGTTCACAATAGCTAGGATATGGAAACAACCCAGATGCCCCACCACCGATGAATGGATCCAAAAATTGTGGTAGCTATACACAATGGAATATTATGCAGCCATTAGAAATGACAAAATAATGGCATTTGCAGGGAAATGGATGGAGCTAGAAGGAATCATGTTGAGCGAGGTAAGCCAAGAACGAAGAGACAAACGGTACATGGTCTCCCTGATAAGTGGATGCTAAATCCAAAATGTTAGGTGATACGACAGAACTAACAGGACTTAAGAAACAAAGAACTCCCACTCATCTGGTTGAACCACTACTAAATATCCCCATGCTGCTGATCACATATATGGTATATAACATGTGAACACCGTTATATGTTACAGACTGTGATAGACAATTTGCTCCAGGAAAGTTAGAATGAACTTGTAACTTTAAATGAGCATCATTATTCCACAATACTGTGAAATTCCGGATATTATGTAATCACTTAATCATAATCAAAAAAAAAAAAAAGAACCTCGGGGAAGGGAGGGAGGGAGGGGATGGTAGGGGGAAAACAATGGAGGGGCTAACAATGTTCAAGAGGAAGTGTACTCATTACCTCACTCATGTAACTGTAACCCTCTGTATAGTATCTTTACAATAAAAAAAAAAAAACTTGGTTTCTCTGTTTTATCTGTGAGTTGCCAGGGTAGCTGTGGAAATTGATGGAACTGCTCTTCTGATTTTTTTGAAGGCCAACTGAAAAAGGCAGCAAGTTGGTTGTTCAAGAATGCGGAGCCTCTGAAGTCTCTTTCCCTGACCTCTAGCAGCCAAGATAGTCTGGGAGCTGTGCCGGCCCCACGTATATCTGGAGTGGAGATCAAAGCAGAGAGTGTGTGCATCTGCCTCATTGATGACTGCATGGACTGCGATGTGCCTCTTGCTGAGCTGACTTTCTCCCGTGAGTGCTGTTGTGGCCCACATATGTCTCAAGAACAGTTCAGTGATAGCTGGATTATTTAGGACTGCCCTTCTTCATTTTTAGTTATTTATTTTTTGTAGTGTTGGAGATTGAACCTATGGCCTTGCACGTTTGGTTAGGTGCCTTACACTGAGCTGCACGCCTAGCCCCCTTAAAAATTTTTTAAAGTTGTAACTATAAAGGTGATGTACAGAAGATTACAGTTGTGTAAGTCAGGTGAAAAGTACATTTCAAGCTGGGCGCTGGTAGCTCACGCCTGTAATCCTAGCTACTCAGGAGGCTGAGATCTGAGGATCTCGGTTCAAAGCCAGCCTGGGCAGGAAACTCCGTGAGACTCTTATCTCCAATAAACCACTAGAAAACTGGAAGTGGTGCTGTGACTCAAGTGGTAGAGCGCTTACTTTGAGCTGAAGAGCTAAGGGACAGAGCCCAGGCCCAGAGTTCAAGCCCCATGACTGACCAAAAAAAAAAAAACAAAGGTACATTTCATTTTGGACAATGTCATCCCTTTTAAATTTATTCCTATTCTCCTATACTTAATATGGATAAAACTTAGGTATACCATTTTGTATATTTTCCCAGAAATTCTTATTTACTTGCCATATGTTGCCTGCAATCTGTAGCTGAATAGAATATATTAGAATAGAATAGAAATTACTATTGATAAAATTTGCATTAACAGCTTTAAGTAGAGCTGAGCTCTCCATTTGCTTATCTTTGATGGATCAGTATTTTAGTGAAGACTATTACTAAAGGCTTTTCAAAGATGACAAAACAATGCTTCTAATTTGTCTTTCTCTTGAAGATAAAAGTTACAAAACATAAATTCTGTTAGGAAGCTTACCTCTGTGTTTCCTCTGGAGGGCCACAGACGAGGGGACACCACTAACTTTGTGGCCATGGTGGAGTGCTGTGGCCTTCCTGCAGCCCTGTAAGCAATTAGTCAAGGACAGTAGGTGAAAATCCATCAGTGGTTTTACCTTCCACTTTTCACAGCCAGCTTCTTCTCCTTATGCATAAAATTTGTTCTGGACATTAGCTTTTCTTTTTCTTTTGTGGTTCTGGGAGTTGAACCCAGGCCTTCACACATGCTAGACAAGTGCTCTTCCACTGGGCTACATCTCCAGACCTTGATTTTTTGAGATAGGTTCTTGCTATGCAGGCTGGTCTCAAACTCTCAATCCTCTTGCTTCCAACTCCCCAAGTGCTAGAGTTACAAGTGTGTGCCACCATACCAAGCCTAATCAACCCTTTGCACATTGTGATTTCAAGTACTATGAAGACTGTGGAATTAAAGTAACAATTGGAATTTTAACTTGTTATAAGTATCTTTAGTGAATAGAGGTTGTACCTTGTTTTTCTGGAGTAATAATGTTAATGTTTGAGCTAGTATTTGGCAAGATACACTTAATTCTACCTCTCTTCCATCTTTTTTTTTTTTTTTTTGTCGGTCGTGGGGCCTGAACTCCCAGCCTCTGGGCACTGTCCTCAGCTCTTCAGCTCAAGGCTAGCACTCTACCATTTGAGCCACAGTACCACTTCTGGCTTTTTCTGCTTATGTGTGTTGAGGAATTGAACCCAGGGCCTCATGCATGCAAGGCAAGCACTCTACCACTGAGCCACCTTCCCAGCCGTCTCTTCCTTCTTTTACTACATGTTCCAGTAGGTTTTGGGTACACCAGGACCAGGGTGAGTCCTGTTGAGGAGACAAATGAGGCCCTTGTCCTCTTCATGTGGTGTTACAAAGCTCAATAATCAAGATGACTAGTTCATACAGTATTTTTAATAACTCAAAATTGATTAAAATGCATGATAACCAGAATGGTATAATTTTATATACTTTTTTGTAAGGACCTCAGTTTTAGCTAGATATAATGTGTCTTTAATGTGATCTGTTTGCAAAGGTCAGTTTTGGTTGCTCCTGCCCTGCTGCTACAGTAAGATTTGTTTTCATTGCAGGTCTGAATTTTCTTCAGCATGTGAGGACCAGCCCCGAAGGCTACGCCCATTTCACACTTTCTGGGGATTATTATAACCGTGCTCTGTCAGGTAAAATAAAGCATATGTTATCGTAGAGTTCAAAAACACACTTAAACGTTTGCTTGGGCCCATTGCCACATACATTTTATATGAGGGAAAGGTAGAGCCAGGATGAGATGAAACAGAGAAGATTAAAAGCAAATAATACTTAAATTACAGAACATAAAGATTTTCTGTTTTCTGAAAACAGAAGTTTTCATCATTCTTTTTTAGTTGGGGGCAGTACTGGTATTTGAATTTAGGGCCTGTACTTACTCAGTATCACTTGAGCCATACCTCCAAAATGACTGTTTAATGGTTATTTGGGAGATAAGAGTCTGGAGGATTTTTCTGCCCGGGCTGGCCTTGAACCAAGCAAGATCCTCAGATCTCAGACTCCCGAGTAGCCAGGATTACAAATGTGAGCCACCAGCCCCAGCTGTTTTTTCATTCCAGAACATTATGTTGCTCAGTGGTGAAGAATTTATTTTGAAGAGAATTTTATGTCCATGAACATGTTAAATCTCTTAACCTCTTCATTTTCTATTAGACGTATTTGATTCAGAACAGGGATATTAATACATGGAGACATTACTGTGTTTTGGTTTGCTTTCTTTCCCTAGTCCCTAAAGCAAAACACAATTGAGCAGAGCAAAGTTTTTCTAGAAATGTAAAACCTGGGTATTACTGAAAGGCATTTTCAGGTTGTCTTTCTCTCATATATTAATCCATTATTCATTCCTGAAACAAAATGCCCGAACTAGGCTACTTTATAACGAAAGGAGATTTATTGAGCTCATGGGGTTGGAGTCTGGAAGTCCATCCAAATCCCTCCTCACCATTTTTTATTTTTATTTTTTTGTCTATGGAGAGGACCTAATGACAACTGGCCTTAGTGGAGGTACACGTGGGATCCAGAGACCGTGCGGTCACACAGGAAGCCATAGGCAGCACATGAGCCAACTCTAACTTATGAATAACTCATTCTTAAAAGAACTAGCTCAGCGTTCCTTCAAGAACTTTGTTAATCTCTTCCAAGGGCCTGCTCTAAATGCCCCAAGGACCTCAAATACAGTCCGCCTATCTCTCAGTTGCCACTTAGCAGGCCCTAGACAGGCTGAAGCAGAGGGCTACAGAAAGGAGATGGGGGAGTGGCATTCAGGGCCTTCAAGGGAACTTGTAATTTTCTTTTTTTTTTTTTTTGGGTCCGGTTGTGGGGCCTGAACTCTGGGCCTGGGTGCTGTCCCTCAGCTCTTCAGCTCAAGGCTAGTGCTCTACCACTT